TTTTTTTTTTTTTTTTTTTTTTTTTTTTTTTTTTTTTTTTTTTTTTTTTTTTTTGAGACAGTGGGATGTGTTAATACCTGAAAATAGGCGTTCTGGTGATCCATCATCACAGCCTTGCTTTTACAGCTTAAAGCCTGGAAAGTGACCCTATGAACATAGATGTGTGAATTGGCAATTTGGGACAGAAACGGAAGCCCAAATTGTGAAACGAAAACCCATAAAAGAGCGAAAAGCAACGAAAGCCCGACTTCTCCAAGATACTTAAAGCAGTGGAAGAGAGAAACGTGGAGACTTGGAAGACTGAAAAGCATGAGAGGGACTGAAACCAGTTTGATTTTGATGGAAGAAAAGGGGCAAAGATGATGAGATAGATGGTCATAATTGTTGTGGAAAATCATGAGATATTTTGGAGTTTTATCATAAGTCTGATGGACCAAAGAATAGAGAAGTGGAAGTAATGAAAAGTAAACCATGTGCTCAAGAAATTAGTAAGAGAAGAGAAAGCATGTGCAAAAGATAGAAAAACATAGGTCAAGAAGAGAGCTCTGTGAGAGTAGACTGAAGTTAGTGAGGAGAGTTGATTGAAATTGCACAAATTCAAGAGAAGGGTAATGAATCATTTAACAAACTATCATCCACTCCATCACAAAGACCATTCCTTTTTGTATTTTCATCATACAAAAACTTCCATCAAACTTAATACTCAACCAAAAAAAAAACTTCCTTACTTTTTTTTTTCCATAAACTTGTATAAATATTTTTCAATAATAAAAGATAAGATTTGTTGAAAATATCAATTTCATTTAATGTGTTGTTTAAATAAATAATAATAAGTAATACACAGTAGCTACTGAGTTTATATTAAAGATGTGCAGTTATATATTAAATAGGGTTATAAATAAATGAATATCAAGAACCAATTACCAAAATGAAGGACTAAAAAAGGGAATTCTAGACCTAATCAAATTTTTTTATTTAGATCACTAAAAAATGTTATCCTTTTGTTACTAGGAAAATGCTCCAAATAAAATGACGATAAAACCACCATCAATGATTTATATATTTCTTTTTGTTCACTGTCAATCACGAAATTTGAATGAAGTTGGTCGTTTATAAACTTTTTTTTAATAACAAAAATAAAATAAAATAAAACTCATAGTCATAAAAATAATTTTATACACCGTTCAACAAAAAGTAAGACAGAGATCAATAACTAAGTGTTTAATCCAATTAACATGATTTTCCATTTAATTAAATGGGATAAGATATGCTTTTAGTTACATAATTAATCAAATTGCACCATTGTTAGCTTAATCAATTTAATTAGATTGCATATATCAAGTTGTAACTTGATCTGATGTTAATGGATCAATTGCCACCGTATATGATTTAAATCAATTTTTTTTAGAACAATAATTTAAATCAACTTGCCCATACTTAATCGTGGGGAATATGTGTATGTGTTTGGTTTAATAATTACCAGGTCTTCATTATTCCATCCTATATGACCACTTTATGTTGTCTATGGTTATGTCATCAAATCTTTATATGTTCCAATATATATATATATATATATATGCTTGGTTGTGTACTAAAATCATCTAATAAAATTATATATATATATATATATATATATATGCTTGGTTGTGTACTAAAATCATCTAATAAAATGGTACTTTATTTATTAATTTTCTTTTTAACAACTTGTCATAATATTTATCATTTTTTAAAAATTTGAATAGCCAAGCTAAACACTTTTATTATTTATATTTATTGTATTATTTAAATATCATATATTCGTGATGATGTTTACATTTTTAAAATTCAATTAAATAATTATGTATCTATAACTCTTTCCGTACCAATTCAAATTTAATATCCAATGGAACTCAACGAATGACTAAATTCTCAAATAGTTCTAAATTTACTATTTCTAATTAATAAGTATCTCGTGATTT